ACTCCCCCCAGAAACAGAGGTGTGAGGTGAGGTTGAACCATGCCACATGCCTGCTTCCAGAGGGAGTGGGAGGGATGGGGACGATGACCAAGAAGGGCTGCGGCAGAAGTAGCAACTCCTACCTGCTTATCTAGAGACACACGGAGCTGGTCCACTTCGCTGCAGTGGTGATACCAGCATCCCTCCAGTTGAGAACCACTGGGTGCTTGTACACGTGATGAGGGGGGCACCGCCATGGAGGAAAGAACCAGGCCCCCGTAGCACAAGGGCTGCTTGGCCCACTGGCAGCTCGTGCCCCACAGCTATGGGAGAGGCAGGCAGGCTCCATGGGGGGGTGAGAGCAGGATCGGGCCCCTCACCGTAACAGCGATGGAAGCTCCTCAATTAAAACGGTGGGTTTTTAATCGTCACAATTTAAAACTCACTGTTTCAATTTAGGGAACTAAACCCCTGTCACACGTACAAGTGGCCACCGACATAAGCAAAGGTAGCACAACAGGAGTTCTCAACTGGGGTCCCCCAAATTAAAAACACTTATGGAAGAATACCCCAAATCTACTACTCCTACCACTACTACTATTCAGAACCAGTGGTCTAAAACAGAAAACAAAAGACTCAATGACAATTACTGGGAAGACGAATTAAAAGAAGAACTGGACCAGATAAGGAAATGCACACTTCCAAATTAGAAAGCGACAAAAAGCAACCTGGAAGTACCTTAGCAGACACCTTTGCTATGGACTATCCAGTCAGAAGGAGACCGCTCACCCAGTTTATTCTGACAATCTTCATGTAGTCGCTGGTGGTGTGTGTTTGCTTAGGCGTACAGAACCACATATTAGCCACACATGGTATATTTGCACTCAAGTGTATATGCACACAATTGCAAATGTCTGACTTTGAAAATCTGGTCCATTATCTCCCCCTTGAGTACGGCTCCCTGAAAAGGCCCATTTCCATTTATATTATTAGGAAGTACTAGGAAGGATTGTTTAGAATCATTAGCCCTAAAAAGAGAGAACAACTATGCATTGCAAACCTCAGAGGCGAGAATGAAATGAGGCATAGACACTCTTTGGGGGAATACGATACTCCCAGAGAACTATGCCTCATATTCATACATGTTTTGAAATATCAGTCAGCCAAAAATGTGTTTCGTCTTGCTAATGACCGTGTACATCACTCCGAGAAATACTCATCTCTGTAAAGACAAAGTCCCAGAATGGATAATGAAGGATTCCATCATTGGCACTTCAAAGCAAAGGGCAAATAAAGCAAAAAAGGAATATCTAGTATTGTGTGTCTGGATGTTGAAAATTATTCCTGTTTAATCCATCTTAAAGAACACTTACCCCATCTGTGCTGAAACATGACTGAAAATTTGACTCCCTTTACAATACTATTAGGTAGATATAAGCCTTTCAGAAATCAGGTCAGAGCCCTGTTCTCTTTCTGCCAGGGCTCTAACACGCTCTCCAAAGGGTATTCAAAACAGGTTGGCCTTTAAGGGTAAGTCATAGAAACAGAAAATTAGGGTTGAAGGGGACCTCAGGAGGTCATCTACTCCAACCTCCTGCTCAAAGCAGGACCAGCCCCAACTAGATTAACACAGGGAAGGCTTTGTCTAGCCGGGTCTTAAAAACCCCCAAGGATGGAGATTCCACAATCTCTCTGGGTAACCTGTTCCGGTGTTTTACTACCCCCCTCGTGAGAATTTTTTTCCTAATATCCAACCTCAACTTCCTTTGCTGCAACTTGAGCCCATTGCTCCTTGTTCTGTCATCTGCCACCACTGAGAACAGCCCAGCTCCATCCTCTTTTGAACCCCCCTGCAGGTAGCTGAAGGCTGCTATTAAATCTCCCCTCAGTCTTCTCTTCTCCAGACTAAATAAGCCCAGTTCTCTTAGCCTCTCCTCATAAGCCACATCTTCCAGTCCCTAAACCTTTTTCATTGCCCTCCGCTGGACTCTTTCCGATTTGTCCACATCCTTCCAGTAGTGAGGGGCCCAAAACTGAACACAGTACTCCAGATGTGGCCTCACCAGTGCTGAACAGAGGGGAATAATCACTTCCCTTCACCTGCTAGTAACACTCCTACCAATGCAGCCCACAATGCCATCAGTCTTCTTGGCAGCAAGGGCACACTGCTGATTCATATCCATCTTATTGTCCACTGTAACCCCAGGTCCTTTTCTGCAGAGTTGCTGCCTGGCTAGTCAATCCCCAGTCTGTAGTCGTGCATGGGATTGCTCTGTTGAAATCATTTGTGTTACGTATCTGGGATTAATTGGCACAGGGAAAAAAAAATCTGTATTCCATAGATTCTGCTGAGTTTTAACCCAATAATCTTTTACATCATATTGGTGTTGGTGCTTATTCCCATCCATGATGCTTAGTATAATTTTGTATTTCCATATTTTACCTTTCCATTGCGTACATTATCTTTCAAACACAACTAAATCAGATTTGGACAGTAATCTAGGTCACTTATTAATCAGTATACCTTTCACGAAATATGCTGTAAAGTGCCCTGATTTCTAGTGGGAGACAAAACAGGTAAAGACCTAGGTGTTGGCCTTAAAAACTCTTATCCTTTCCCCCTGCAAAAGGCATAAATAAGGGCTAGAAAGGACAACTGTGTTCATAGACCATTAGTGAGGTTTACTAGGTCTAAACCACCAGGGAGGGTATGACAGGGGATATATCACTCGAGATAAAAACTGGTCGTATACTCATTACTGCCACTGTCAGCAGCAGCTTAACTAGCAGGGGACAACCGGGGCAGCAACCCTGGGCATAATTTGGGGGGTTAAGGGGGCAGAAAAATAACAGCAGTTGCCACAACTGTGCAATTGCACTGGCAGCACAGCAGCAGCCAGGAAAGTCACTGCTGACCCCATGCATCCCACTGTCCCGGGCATCTGGCTGCCTTGTTACGCCTGTCAGACTGGATACTGGGCTTGATGGACAGTTGGTCTGACCCAGTATGATACTTCCTATGATCCTCTGTCTTGTCACTATTAAAGGCTGCAGGGCAGGCACGAACTTCATGGCTGAGAAAGTGAACTCCAGAAAGAAATTATCTAGAAAACTTCAAGGACGTTTTGTAGAGGGAAGAATATTATCTGCGTAAGGCTGTTATTGTGTTCAGTCTTTCTTCCACATAGCTGATCGATCCCTTAGTAGCCCTTCCACGCAAATTAAGCCAAGGTAGCATTTGTTTCAACCCAGGACAATAGGACATAGAAGGAAGACACTGTGCTATGGCTGAAGGGTGACACCCTGTTTTGCAAAGATGGAGTTGAGAAACTACCCATCCAAGCCAGGGACAGTCACACAGCGTTCCCCAAGGTTTGCTTCCATCACCTCTGCTGTCCAATGTTTTATGCAAAGCTGCCGGGGCAAGAGAATTAACAAGAGTCTGGAATACAGAAGCATTATTTAAACATTACAGTAAATGCCTTCACAGACACCAAAGAGATTTATTTGCAGTATTCTGTTCTATACAGCTGTCTAGCTTCAGAGCGCAGTAGCTTTTCTTTTCCAGTGCCAAGCTGACCTAGGGGCATTGATAAAGCCTAATGCACTTAGGAGTTGAGACCATGGCTGGTAAGAGAGTTATCTAGAGGGTTTCAAGGGAGTTCTGTGATAACCATTTGTGCACTGCAAACTCATGAATAGATTCACAACATTTTAGGGCTGGAAGGGACCTCGTGAGATCATTGGGTCCAGCCCCTGCAATATAGTAATGGGATTGTTTGAGATGACAGACAGGATATTATCTAGGGCTGCGCGACACTTTGGTCGCCGATTCAATTCAGCACAGATTCGGCCTGATTCGGTGGCCGAATCTCTGAATCGAATCAAGAGACCCTTTAATCTCTCTCTGAATCGAATTGGAACCTTCTGAATTGATTCAGAGATTCGATGATCTGGACATAGACGCAGTTTTAAATATTTTTTCTACATACCTCAAGGTACCAGGAGGCTTGTGAATACCGAGATGCTGGGGCAGCTGAAGCGTCCCACGGAAGCGGGGGGGAGGAGGGAAAAGAGTCCCAGCGTGCTTGGCAGCGGACCCGGAAGTGGACCAGAAGCACTTTCAGTCCACTGGGGAGCACATGGGGAACCCCCCTCACCACATCCTCTGGCTTGGTGACTAGTGCCTTCTGGGTCTGGGGGGACACCTGAAGCCCTCCTGCAGCTGATTGCCGAGCCGGGGAGGTGCGTGGGGGGCACGCTCCTGTGGGATGCTCCATCCGCCCCAGCATTGCAGCATTCACGAGCTGTGCCTGGTACCTCGAGGTATGTAGAAAAAACATTTAAAGCGGCATCTATGGCTGAATTGCTTTTTCTACGAATCAACATCGAATCTTCAGCTTCAGATTCGGCCGAATCAAATCGGGACAGTGATCCGAATCAACTAATCAAATCACTGTCTTCGATTCAGGCCAAATCTGAAATTGAATATGGCCCATTTCGCACACCCCTAATACTATCCTTGAAGGCAACTCAGGTTCAGGTATTGCACAATATGGTTCCCCATTTAATACTATGAACTGTACTGATCTTAATTCACCTGTTCTCTACTGGTTTCTGATGGTGCTTTATCATTTAATTGAAGGTGGTGACCAATCTAAAGCCCCATGCTATTTCAGGCGTTGGCTTCCTGAATGAAAATCATCTCACCCCCTGGAAGTTACCTTACTACTGGAAAGTACTTCTTTTAGTGTCCCCCAAATACAAAGAAAATGGAATGATTAAACTTGCCTGACTGGTCCAGAGTTTTAGGTCCTAAACCTTATCTTGAAATGTTTTCACTGGCATATAATGCCATTACCAGGAGGAGGAAAGGAGAGTTTGCTATGATGTACTCCATACTGACAGCGTTTAAGAACTTTCATTGTGAAAGGGAGCTGCAGAGCACATGCCACCAAAAAAAAAAAATCTGGATGAACTAAAATTTGCTGTAGTTTCTAATCGATAAAAGAGGCACTTACCATCTGACCATTAGCCCATGCTCCATGAAGTTTTTCAGGTTAGGAAGAGTTTGCCTTAGATCTGGAGTACCCAGTCCATGTTGATACCTAAGCTACAAAGACAGAATTATTAGAATTAGTAGGGCTTTCCGAGTTCTACACTAGATTTCAAAACTGGATGTAGAGGATGCACAGGTTATTCACTAGGTTTCTGAATAAGAGTTAAAGGATAGCTAAATCAATTCAAACTGAGGGGCAAGGGGGAGGAGGAAAAGGAAGTCATAAGTTTGCTATCCTTTAGGAACATTTTAAATGCAAAGCTCCATAATAATGGATTAGCAAAAGCCCTGAGGACAATGATAAAATAATCAGTCAACCTGGTCATTAATCCTTATTACAGTATAACTGCTTTGTTTCCTGCACACTATGGAATGTGGTCTCCCTGTAAAGTGGGTTGATAAAACATGGGGGGCTTATATTTCAGTGCTGCATTCCAACATTCATTGGCTCAAAAACAGCAAAAATTGTTTACACATGGGTAGCCAAGCATTGTCTGTTTTTATGAAAATATTACCCTGATCTATGCTAAACTAAGAGGTACGTTTTTGGGATGGTGCATTAGGAATTATCCTCATAATATCCAATCCTGATAATGAACTTTCACATATTAATTCCTCCATGTGACATTTATAATTTTGACCACAGCAACTTATTTATGCAAAAAAATAAGTCTGACTTCTGTTGTATCCTTAGCTACCTACTAGTTTTGACATATTTGGCACAGCAAATAGAGATGCATTACAAACAAAGTAGTTATTATAGTGCGTTGGGGGGGGTGGGGGACACGTTATTACATTAACTCACCTGAATCCCCCGATTAGCATACTAATTCAAAAGCGCATACAAATACTAGCTGATGGAGGCGGCCCAACGTTCAGTGAATGAGCTTTCTTAAAAGATGTGATATTTTTCCATCCTCCCATCTCTGAGAATAATAATCTGCTGAGGCACAGACCTAATGTAGCTGCCTCAGTGCCAGTGTCTAACTTATCCTCTGGAAATTTAGTACCTCTTAGGAGAAGTACACTTGGAATTATGAAAAGGTAGTTACTGAGAAGTTTAAGTAGTTTAATTAGAAAATTTGTATATGTAGAACTACCATTCAGCAGTGGTAAGTCAGCAGCATCAACAGTTGTTAATGCTATAACTGCCGTCGCCGGGAGAGAACCCGGGAGGCAGAAAGGTTTTATGGAACAAGTACTCTCACTGGGCCACACTGGATAAATCCACAAAACATAGGCCATCATCCACTTAAACCACTTGGGTAACAGGGTTTAGAAAGGCCTACTGCAAGTCGTAACCAGGGATCTGGGTTTTCCATTCGTCGTGGAAAAACGCATTATAAACTGGATTTTCTCATTTTAAGGGGAAAAACATGGGATGGGACACTGTGGGTTTCCCCTTGCAAGCTGGCAGAATTCCAGTCTGCAAGGGGCTGGGGGGGGACAGTGGTCAGCAGGGGGCACATGAAAGCCAGGCAGTCTGGAGAGCAGCTCCTGCAGATAAGTCCGGAGGGGGAAGTGGGAGGGATTGAGGCCCCCATTGGGCATGGCTGGGGATGCTGCCCAGCTGGGACAGTGCATGGGGCTTGGGGCCCAGGACCATGTGCAGCCGCAGGGCCCAGGCAGGAAGTGGGACGGAGGCATGGGTGGCTTGTCCAGAGGGCAGCCGGGCGGAGGGGGAGCTTCCTACTGCTGCACGCACTCCCAGGGGGGAAATGAAAGGCACACACCCCCCAGATATGTGCACGGGGCAGGTGCAGGCTGCCCGCTGCAGGATTGGGGCTCCCCCGCCCTGCTGCCCTTCCCCCCAGGTGAGACCTGGCGTGGCAGGACAGAGTGCGATGGGGAAGCTCAATGCATGGCCAGGGCACCAGTATATCAGGGCTGCTCAGGGCCACAAAGCAGTGAGGGAAAGGGGGCGGGGGCGGAGCACAGCCTAGGCTGGATCTGCATCCTGGTGAGTGCAGGGGGCAGAGGGGCTCTGAGTGTCCATGATAAAAAAAAATCCAAATTTATAGGCATTTAGAATTTATTTTATTATAGTGACTGAGGCACTGGTAGGCTTCCAAATTGCATTAAAAGTGTAAATATATCAATAAAACATTGTGTTGAGCTGATACTATACACACACGTACATATACATACATACGTGTACACATACACACATATGTACATATACACACCCATACATATGAGTGGTGCTTCATTTTAATCATGGAAAAATGCGGATTTGGGGGGTTTAATTAGAGTATTTGTGATTTTGGTTTTTTAATCATAGAAAACCACGATCCCTGGTCATAACACACATGCTCATTGAGACCCTTGCCACCTTCTGCCTCGTTTATGTATTTATGCTTACTAAAAAAACATAAAAAACAACTGTTTCACTGATTTACTAGAAATCCGTGCCCATTATTTGATCCTGCATTCTAAACTTCCAGGAAGGTCTTGGAGCCGAATATATCCTCCAGCCTTTGTTCACAGTATGAAAGACATCCCTTAACACACAGCCTACTGGAATAAGCTAGGCTGAGTGTGATAAATGAATATTGCCATTAGTATAGTTCAAAGTCACAAAGAGGAAATCACTGCCATTTCTGAGAAATAAATGCTTAGCACCTGCACAATGTACCGATTCATTTAGCCGCAGTCAAAACAACTCCTTGGCTCTTTAGGATTATACATCTACGTAACTGGTAGTGCTTGCATGGAAATTAGCATCCTCCATTGGACACAATAGAAATTGAGCACTTTATGGATATCAGAATTTATTTTTCTCCTAATCCATTGTTTTAAACCAGTGTAAACTTTAATTTTTCAGGGAAGAAAGTCTTGGGAGTTACTTCTAGGTTTTCAAAGGAAAAAAAAACTGCTTTGGAAAAATAATTCTCAGCACTGGATTGTGCAACAGGAGGCCACTTTTACACAGTTTATTATTTCCATATGAACAAAACTATGTGGCATGGTGGGCTGCAATGCATATTTTCTGCTACAGTGACAGAACCTGGATTAGGACAACCATACAATGTAAATTACTGCATGATCAACCAAGCTCTCCTGATGGGATTACACTGGATTTGGTTGAGCAAAGAACTAGCCTAGAGCAAAAGCAAAAGAGAAATTTACAATAAAAATCAAAGACATTGCAGTTGGGTCTTCCCACCACAGCCAAACCTTTGCAATAGCTATTTTTTTTTTAATAGTTTCTTTTAAAATTCTAAGGTTTCAAGGCATGAAAAGGACGGGATTAAAGGATTTTTCCCTTTAAGGCAGTCATGCACCCATTTCAAACACAGCCAGGATCAGAGGACTGTAAATGGGGAGGGGGGGGAAGACTATGCAGTATTAAATATGAACAAGAGCCTTGTTTCTAGTCAATCAGTTTTCTATTACCAAGGAAGTTCACAAATGCCACTGAACAGCAGCTTTCATGCTGAGCTCTGTTTAAAAGTTTAGTCGTTTAAACAGATATGCTAAAATGTGAACTCCATACTGTCATGTTGGCAATGCAGAGCCGTACCAGAACTGATCAAATTCCCCTACTTCTACAAGAGTTTTAAATGAATAGAAACCTGTATTGTTCGGATATTTATGGTTAACATCACATGAAAACAAAAGCAGAAGCTTTAGCTTGGAGCACAAAGGAGGTATTGCCTGCAGAACAGCTTTTGCTGTGATGGCAAAGACTTAGGCAGCGACTGCATGGATGCTTTTACAATAAAGCAACTACTGGAATCATATTTTCCCCGTGTCTGCCAGTCCTGTGGCAATTAATTTATAGACTAACATTTGCACCCTATAACAATAGTTCCAGACACAAGATTCCTTTTTAAAACCAAAATTCAAAATGGGGTAAGAAAACTTGATACACAGACAGCCTTGAGCTCCAGCAGATACACGCTGCTTGAACCATACAGTGCATGGCCTGAAATGAGATAGAAGCACGCCACATACGCCTGAATCACTGATTATATTCTCTGCTGTTAGGCAATATGCACAGGAAATAAAAATACAACTGACAGCAATCGTTCTGCTGCTTTCTGAATACAGAGAACATGGCTCAAACAACACAGAAGCCACACAAGACCTGGAAAGTCCAGATGAAGCGACTTGCTGAGACATTTCAATGGAGACAACTGTTCCTACCTAGGATGCTTTACTGTGGTACCAACCATCGGTTCTGCTGTTATGGTGCCAGAGTAGTTAAACAGGTCTATAACAACTCTTGTACGCAATGGTGGAGATGAGACTGAATGGGGTCACTAAGGTAATCCCGCCAGAAAGGCCAAACTCAGAATTTCCCAGTCCATTTCCCACCTCCTCCTGACCAATGTGAATCAAGTCTGATTACATTTACCGCTATCAAAATTACTTATCAGCCTGGAGATGGTCTGTATCATTTCTAAAATACTATACAAATATTTTGGTGTTGGTATACAAAAAAAAAAAAAGCAGCTAATCATTACAATTAAATATAAAACACATACTACAGGTAACGCTGGGGATTAGCAGGAAGAAAGGCTTTCACCTTGTGACAACAGCATTGAATTCTCGTCCCTTCAACTAGAGTGGTTAAGCAACTAGTCCTGCTACTGCCATTTAAAATGATAATTTGACGTTGGATGCAAGCTAACATTTGTTCTAGTTGAGTGTTATAACTCCATCACCCCAATTATCTAGAGGAAAACATGCCTGTTTTCATTTCAGGGCACAGGGGCTTCCAGATGTTTAAAAATAAAAAAAATAAAAACCCCCAAACACCCCGTGCTTTACTTTAAACTTGGCATGTTCCCTTGCCAAGCCCTGCGCATGTCCAGAGGAGGCAGCACGTTACGTCAACCTGGCTCACCCAATGTCTGTAAAAGATTGGGCACTTTAGTGGGGCTTTTTTGGTACTTTTATCTAATAGCTGATTGAATCAACTTTGGCTAAAAGCACCATAAAGCCCTGCTGAAGTGCCCGATCTTTATAGATGCTGCAGAGTCAGGTTGAAGAATTGCATTACTTCTTTTGGTATACTGCATTTCTTTTTCTGGTTTTTGGTTTTGTTT